GCATGGGGACAGGAACCAAACTTTTGGTAACATGCTCAAGCATTTTTTAATATGCTTGTGACCATATAAGATAATGATGAGGAGAAATGATGCACATGGGAAGAAATTGTGACTGTACATTTGTTTATTCCCTGTGACTTGTAAAAAGCATGGGTCTATATTGATTCATGAATAATTGATAAAAGTTTCTTAGATGATCTGGACTTAGAATTAAGAGACTAGAAATATTGATGACAAAGAAAGTTAGGGATCAATTCTGGTAATAGATCTTTCAGAATGGGCACAGATTATCAAAATATAGATGCCCATTTGAATGTCCTAGAGGACATTCATAGCAGAAGAAGATATTTTAGGTAGAAAAAGCACAGGTTTTTTGTCTATTAGCCTCTTTTTAATAAAGTTGTCCAGGTGCTTGCTCAGTGAGTCCACATGTAAAATGACAATATTTTGAGGTCCTGCATATGAGGGAGATATAGAAGGGCTTAGGTGGCCAGCGAAAGATGGTATGTGAGCGGGTGGAGCAGGGCCAGAACAAAGGAGCAAAGATCTCTGATGAGATCAACTTCCTCATTAACTAAGGCAGAGCACCCTAGTGGAGGACAAAATCTGACAGACACATCTATACTCATGCTCCTAAGAAGGGGACCCAATAGAAAAACTAAAAATAGATGCATGGACCAAGGGGCCAACAGTTAATAATGGTGAGGAATGCGTGGACAGGGAGGACAAAAGGAAAGGAGGAAATTCCAGATACCATAAAAGACAACAGGCCCAAACTCCCCACCTGGATTCCCAGCTCTGGGTCCCCTTATCTTCAGAAAGGTCTATCTTTCTATCTCTGTTGCTTTTGCAATAAACATACTTCTTGCTTGCTATCTCTGTGTTCTCTTCTTTAATTTTTTGCTGAAAAGAGAAAATGAGCCCAGCAACCCTAGAGAGTAAAACGTAACACCTCGTATATATTCTCTGGCTATCAGCAGTTTAGTACTCAGCTGCCAATATGGCACAGTATTCTGTGGAGATCCTAATGGTAGGTTGATGGTGTTAGAATATTTATACCATGGAGGAAGTAGGATTTTGTCTCATTCGAATGCATATCTACTATAGGTATGCATATTTTTCTTATGGTAATATCTCAGCTGGTACCACCATCTGTGGTTTTAAGTAGTTTCTTATTAACCATCATGGAACTTCTGCAAACTTTATTTGACAGCCACTCAAATGAAGCAATGGGTCCATGACCAGTGAATTTACTAATTTGACCACATACATGATCACCCATAAACATGTGGACTATCAGAATGTTGAATGTCATAGTGATGAGCCCTGTATGGCTCTCATGGGAGAAAAGATCTTCATTTTTAAGATTTGAAAATGAAGGTGAGAAAGTGGGAGAAGCTACTCTCATTATTATACTTACTATCCACTCACAACATTTTTCCTCTCTTTTCTCTAACTTCACGCTGTGCGGATTGGGGGTCTCTCATCCCAAGAAAGGTATACTTTCACCAGAGTTGTAAACAATATTTTCAATAATTTGAAAATGAAAACTAGCTATGGTTATTTGTGCTTTATCTAAGCACATTCATATTTTCAAGACCCCTAGATTAGTATTTGTATAGATGATTCTAACAGAAAACAGAAGGAATTAATTAGACGGGCCTGCCAGATTAAAGTGTATATACTTGGATTACATTTTATGCTAAAATTTAAATTTTATGCTAAAAAGTATAAAAATGTCTGAGGGGAGGGCATTTACTAGTATGAATTTGTCATGCCAGGTTATGTTACAGATTGTGAAATCAGTGTTTTTAATTTTTATACCCATTTCATGAAATTCTTAAAATAGTGCTTAAATCTCAAGTTTACCTTCTAAGGATTTACAGAGTTATGAACAGAGTAAGCATTGTGGGTAGGAAAAAAATTAACTTAGTACATACTCTGAAAACACAGTGGTTGAAAGAGTACCATTGAAGGTGAATTGAGGCTATTTCTAAGATAGAGACAACCAAATGATGGACTGCCAGTTCTTTGTGACCATAGGTGAACAGGCATGTGCTGGAGAGGTATTCACTTTCTTTACAATATATATTGATAGAGAAAACTACATTGAAAATTATACCATTTACAGTAATTAGTGTTTTATTTGTTAGCTTAATAGAGATGTTTTGGTACTTTATTTTTGGCATGAGTTATGCTTTAACATATTTGGTGAAAAGTAAATTTTCTATACTGCTTTTGAGTGGCAAATAATAAATAAGTAAACACTCTTGGAAGTATAATT